ACAAAATAGTGTTCCCATTTTTGTTCCAGATAGGTAATTTGTCCTTTCTCCACTTTTTTCCTGGACAGTATTGTCTATGATTTATCAATTTTAATGTCGTTCAATGGAAAAAACTTGCCTTGTTGAGCCTCTTTGTTGTAATTTTTGTACTTTCTCATTTATTTCCACTTTTTATTGTTTTCTTCCTTCTATCGCATTTTGATACAATTTGCTTTTCAATTTCTAACTTTTTGGATACATACTAAGGTAATTGAGTTTATGCTTTCTTTTCTTCTAATGTATGTATTTAAGGCAATCAATTGTATAAGACAATTTTGATATGTTAATTTTTATTGTAATTCATATAAAAATTATGAATATGCACTGTAATCAGTCTTTTTACCCATATGCAATTTATAAATATATTGTTGAATGAAAAATCATATAAGAATTTTCAAAATTATTTAGTTGATTTCTACTCTAAGTACACTGTAGTTAGAGAATTTGCTGCAATGTTAGAAATGTTCTAAATTTGTGGTTGAAATGTAGTTTTGTGAAACAGGAACTGAATTTCAAATTTCATTTGCTGTTAGTTAATTTAAATTTAAATTTGAGCGTCACACTTCAAGTGCTCACCTGTCAAACTGGCTAAGGACTACTGCATCAACAACACAGTTCTATACATTTTTATATGTATATTCTTTGAAATACGAATAGATAGTGTATTTTGGGAAAAGTTCTGTGTGGACTTTAAAAGTATGTGAACTCTGTACTCGCATGTATTGTGTTCATGTGTGTGTCAGTGTTGCTAATTGTCTGGTTTAAATCCTTCTGTAGCCTTACTGTTGTATCTGCTTTTTTGATAAGTAGTGAGAGTGTTTAATCTCTATGATCAGCCTGTGTTATCAGGTAGACACAAGTTTAAAAATCATGTTATTAATGGTTTGGAGAGTTTATCAGTGTGAAACGTGTCTTTTATTTCAAATAATGCTTCTTCCCTTCTCACGTGACGGCCCTTTAACTGCAGCATTTTTCTACTGGGTGTGTTGCACGGTGTTTCTTGTTTTAATCTGTTTACTTTCCTCTTGCCTTATGCATATATTCCAGGTCTTTCTCATTAAATTAGCTGCTGATTATGTTTAATTAGT